TAAAGGTATTGCTTTTACTCTATGGAAAAGGAAAAGTTGGTAGGTACATAGTAAGCTAAGTGTCTAGAATGATGTTAACTTAGCAGTAATGATAGTTTCTGTCTGATGGGAATTAAGATATGCATCAGAGTCTAGTCATGAGACAGAAGCCAGTTGTTTTTAACAAAATATTTAATATAAAGTATTGTTAAGAGATACTAAACTGAAGTCGTAAACTAGGATACAGAAGTTTTCTCAGGTGTCAATTGTGGGAAGCAGCTAACATTCCTAAGGCTGTGGGTCAAAGGAGAGGTTGGAATTACTAAAATATATAAACCCACAGGGGAGGTGCAATGGAGCTTAAATTCGGATCTCTGAGAAGGTGGTGCTGCTTAGGCTGGTATTAATGTCTCTGGGTGTGGAGAATGGGTCCTTTGGTTCTGGGACTCCAACACCTGGTGCTAATGTCTCTGAGGTTATCACAACGAAGCTATTTGGGATAATAAGTGAGGTAGAAAACAATATTATTTTGTTCTAGATGGCTAGCCAGAACGGGTGTAGTACCTTTCCACTTAGTATTAGAATTCTTCCTTGGTGTCTCTCAACAGGGCTTTTAAAAAGTTTTTATTCACATTGATCTTACACATTTCTTAAGGTGTTTTTTTTTTTTTTTTTTGCATTTTTAAGTTAATTGCTAGCTATTTTAGTTCAGTTTAGTTTTATTTCTGTACGTGGAAACGTTCCCTCTGTTTTATCTTTTAACTGCTTGTAGTTTGTATATAAGAAAGCTCTTCATGTTTAATTATTAATGTAACATCCAGAAACCTTACTAAATTTTGTTATTGTCTGTCATAGGTTTTCACCTATGTTAATTAAACTTCTCTAAGTGGCTCTTATAGAAATCTGCTTTGTATTTTGTTATGTAGGAAACTTCTCCAACATGCTAGTTTCTCTTTATGACAAGTACCATTTCTTTTCCTGAAGTACTATTGTAAAGATATCATTACTGGTCTCCCTGCTTCTGCCCCATCTCATCACCAGGTTATTCTCAACATAACTGTTAATGGAATCTTTTTAAAAACATAAATCATGTCACTTTCCTGCTCATAATCCTTAAATGATCATCCATTGTTCTTCAAAGAGAATCCTACTCTCTTACTGTAAACTAGGTCTTAGTCTGCTTAGGCTGCCATAACAAAATACCATAGACTGGTGGCTAAAACAACAGAAATTTGTTTTCTTATAGTCTTGGAGCTAGGAAATCCAAGGCTTAGGTGCCAACCAGTTCAGTTCCTGCGGGGAGCTCTCTTCTTGTCTTGAAGATGCCCACCTTCTTTCTGTATCATCACATGGCCTTTTCTTGGTGTATGCACCTAGGAAGAGAGAGATTGCTCTCTCTTCCTCTTCTTACAAGGCTACCAATCCCATCATAAGAGCTCCACCATCATGATCTAATGTAACCCTAAGTACCTCCCAAAGACCCACCTCCAAAAACCACCAAATTGAGTTAAGGGGTCAACATATGCATTGGTGGGGTTGGGTAGGGCAGACATTCACTCCATAACAGTTTAAAATGATCTGGTCCATGACTATCTCTTCAGCCTCTTCTAGAGGTACCATCCATAATTCCTTAAAAAACACTAACCTCTGAATTTTCTCAAACACATGAAGTTCTTTTCTACTTAAAATTTCTTACACATGCTGTTTTGTCTGCCTAGAATGTCTTTCTTCAGTTCTTTACATGAATAATTTTTATTCTTTAGGTCTGAGTTAAAGTATTTCTTTCCCAAAGGCTTCCAGTCAAGATGGTAGCATAGGTGAACATGGCTCACCTCTTTACACAACCACATCAAAATTACAACTAAAACTCATAACCATCAGAAATTGAGTTGGATGGAAGTCTGACAACTACAGAATTTTAAGAAACCACATCCATTCAGACTGGAATCCCCGGGGCCAGTACATCCAGTGGATAGCTACAGACCATGTCAGAGTACCACCAGCCTGCTCCTGCATAGCTGATCCTCCATAGAGGGCAGTGGTTGGTGGTAAGTGGTCACAGCCAATCCTTGCAGCTGACTAGCCAGGTTAATCCCTCCCATTGATCTTCCAACAGCAACCAAGGCTCAACTACACAAGGAGGGTGTACTCAGCCCACATGAAGGGCGCACCTTGAGTACCCAGTTTGAGTGATAGGGGAGGCTGTGCCACTGGACCCTACAGGACACCTACTACATTAGACCACACTACCAAGGCATATAGTCAAAGCAGCTCTACCTAGTACATAGAAACAAACACAGGGAGGCTGCCAAAAGGAGGAGGAAAAAGAAACATGGCCCAAATGAAAGAAAAGATCAAAACTCTAGAAAAAGAGCTAAACAAAATGGAGATAAGCAACCTATCAGATGCAGAGTTCAAAACACTGGTTACAAGGGTGCTCAAGGAATTTAGTAAGGACCGCAGCAGCATAAAATGACCCAGTCAGAAATGAGGGATACACTAATTGAAATAAAGGACAATTTACAGGGAAATAACAGTAGAGTGGATGAAGCCAAGAATCAAATCAATGATTTGCAACATAAGGAAGCAAAAAACAATCAGAATAACAAGAAGAGCAAAGAGCCCAGAAAGAATGAGGATAATATAAGCAGTTCCTGGGACAACTTCATACTGTCCCACATTTGCATCATAGGGATGCCAGAAGGAGAAGAGTGAGAGCAAGAAATGGGAAATCTATCTGGAAAAATAGTGAAAGAAAACATCCCTAATTTGGTGAAGTAAGTAGAAATGCAAGTCCATGATCTACCTGATTATATCTGTGTAGCTGTCATGGTTGCTGAGACTTTATAATGGATTTAAAATTTTTAATATTTTATAATGGATTTTGACATAAAAAATAAATAAGTAAAATAAATCTGCATTTTAACAAAAAGAAATAAAGAAGGAAGGAACTCCTACCTTTTGGGACAACATGGGGGAAAAAAAAAAGAAATGCAAGTCCAGAAAGCACAGAGTCCCAAACAAGATGGATGCAGAGAGGACCACTCCAAGACACATTACACTGTATTTTACTGTGTATAATGTGCATTTTTTGCCCAGATTTTTGAGGAAAAATAAGGATGCACATTATACATGGGTAGTGCTAATTCCAATTCTGTATAAATGTTTTTCTTTTATTTATGCTTATGCATTAAAAGTGTAACTCTAGAAAGCAACTGTGATATCCGAATGCAAAATAATACCCTGGAATATGATAATCAGTTTTGTTTATAAATATAAAAAAATAAATAAATTGAATTAAGAAATGAAAAAAATGTTTTTCCTGAAAGTTTGGGACAAAAACATGGGTTCTTTATTCAATGTTTAAAACATTGAACATGGCAAAATATTATAACTAAAGTGCTAAAGGTTAAAGATTAAGAGAGAATCTTAAAAGCACCAAGAGAAAAGAAGTTAGTTACTTACAGGGGAATCCCCATAAGACTGCCAGATGATGTGTCAAAAGAAACGTTGCAGGATAGAAGGGATTGACAAGAAATATTCAATATCATGAAAAGCAGGGACCTACAGCCAAGATTGCTCTACCCAGCAAAGCTATCAGTTAGAATTGAACGGCAGATAAAGAGCTTTGCAGACAAGAAAAAAACTAAAGGAGTTCATCCTCACCAAACCATTACTATATGAAATGTTAAAGGGACTTATTTAAGAAAAAGAAGATCAAAACTAGAAACCATAGGATGGCAAAAATGCGCATCTATCAACAATTGGATGTATAAAACAAACTAGCAAACAAGAAGAAAAGAGACAGAATCATGGATATGGAGAGCATTTTGATGGTTGCTAGATGGAGGGGGATATGGAGGAATGGGTGAAGAGGTGAGGTGATTAAGAAGTACAAATAGGTAGTTACAGAATAGCCATGGGGTTGTAGAGTGCAGTCTAGGAAATGGAGTAGCCAAAGAATTTATGTGCATGACACATAGACATGAACAATGGTGTGGGAATTGCCTGAGGGAGTGGGTGTTGGGTGGAGGGGAAAAAAGAGGAAAACATCAGGACAACTGTAATAGCATAATTAATAAAATATAACAAAAAATAAAAATAAATATTCCTTTCCCAGAGTCCACATATCTGAGAAGGTCTTCTCTATTCTCTGTCAGTTCATTGGATTTATTTATTAATCCATTACAAATGTGTATCTGTATATGTGTATACATAATTTTACTCTCTCTACTTTTGTATATGTTCAGAATTCTACATTTAAGATTTTTAATGGGAAAAATTCCATTGATAATTTTTTTTAATTTCTTAAATTCACAGTCAGGGTTTTGCCTTTGCTTGATCATACACTATTAAGAAAATAATCCTCTTTAAGAATTAAAAGGCACAGGTCTAGAAATGACTTGTATCTAAAGATATGTATATGTGGATACTCATTCCAGAACAGCAAAGGTTTAGAAACAACCTAGATATCAATGGGGGTGAGAAGAGTTTAATGAATTTTGGCATAATCATACTATGAAATACCACTCAGTTATTAGAGAATGGAGCATTTATGAAATGTAATAGGTAATGACATGGAATGATTTCCAAGCATGGTATAGACCATTGTGTATAGTATGCATACCATCATTTGTGTCCATTTGTAACCAAAAAGATACATACTATACTGGCATTTATCTGGATAATCTTAGGAAAGTTAGACCAAAATCTAGTAACAATGACTGTCTCAAGGACAGGGAACCATGTAGCTGAAGGTTTAAAGGCAGGATGGAGACTTTTTTTTCACTGAAAGAATGACCAAAAAAACCCCCCAAAACTTTGGAAGTAGAGATGAATGATTGTTTCAGTCTGGAATTATGGAGATTTTTTGAAGAAAGATAATAAAAATTTAGTATTGCTTTTCTCTTAACAAAAATAGAAAATATATAAATAGTTAATTATAATAGATATTGCTATGAGACATATAAAATGATTTCAGTTATAAGTGGAAATATTGTCTGGATTTTATTTATTTTCAGGTGGTGATAGTGGACTGGATGGGTTAGGAGGACCAGGTGTACAGCTGGGAAGCCCAGATAAAAAAAAAAGAAAGACAAATACACAGGTAAATCGACATTTTCTTGCAATAGCACTTTTTCTTTGCTGATATGATCAGGTTGATGAGGTAAACTTAAATTTGGTCATGGGTTTTGTTTCCTATTCTCATTCAGAACCTAATAATGAATTAACTCTACAGTGATTGTATTTTTTTACTCGTGGCTGTTGCTGGACCATAGATCTAGAGTGGATATTGCAAGAGGAAAGTGTAGGCAGACAAATTAAAATGCTTATTTTTAAATCTAATTTAAAATACATTGACACCTGTATTATTTTAATTTTAAAAGGTGGAAAATATATTTGGACACAAGTTTAACTTGAAGAAATAATGTTCAACTATCATAATAATTCAGTAGCATGTGCATATCATGAAACAATCATGGTAGACGTATCTTTTGTCTATAACCTGTGGTTGTAAATACAGGCTTTCATGGCTTTATTCTCTATAAATTTGATGCACTCTTTTTATGATAAAGACTGAATAAATGTGATGTATGTATGGATGACTTTTTTTCCATTTTGACCACCATCTGTTAATCTTGCAGTGTGACAAAAACTGGCAGTTTATTTTTCCATTCTGAGGCCTCGAGCTTAGTGCTTTAGGAATAAATTAATAGCTATTCCCTGAAACTAAGCAAGAAAAAAAATTTTAGATCTGTTGATTATTTAATTTTATGGTTATTTAAGGGTATAAAAGGTATTTTTAGTTAGAATTTTAAGTGAAAGATTCTAGAGTTATAGGCAAACATATTAAATGAAAATTATAAAGAATTTTCTTTGAAGGATAAATACTTTTGGAGTTTGAAGTAACAATGGATTTGCACTCAGAAAAGCACATCTTATTTCCTTTTCTAAATTAAAGAAACCTACATGTTTTTCTCATTAAATATAATTATATATAAATATTGGGTTGGCCAAAAAGTCCATGTACTTTTTTCCATAAAATAAAAGACATATTTTTCATTTTCACCAATAACTTTATTGATTTGGATATTTTGGGTATGTCAGCTATTTCCTGTGTGGTATAACATTGACTGTTCTCAAGTAATATCTCGATTGGATTGCTCTCAACTTCAACTGGTCTACCCGACTGTGGAGCATCATCCAGCAAGAAATCTCCAGCATGAAATTTCACAAACCACTTTTGGCACGTTCCATCAGTCGCAGCACCTTCTCCATACACTGCACAAATCTTTTTGCATTTCAGTTGCATTTTTACCTTTCTTGAAAAAAGCATAATATGCTGAAAATGTTGCATATTTTCTTTCATCTTCAATATTAAAATGACTATACAAAAATTCACCAATTTTGATAAGTTTTTTAAAATGCTTGCTGATATAACAGCTGTCACAATACAATCTAACAAAATTATTTTGAATGAAGTCCAAGACAACTAAGCACTACTAGAGACATCTTATGGGAAAGAAAACTAACTATTCGGCCAACCCAATATTATTTCAAATTGAAAAGTCCAGTGCAGTCTATGGCCATACCACCCTGAACACACCTGATCTCATCTGATCTCGGAAGCTAAGCAGGGTCGGGTCTGGTCAGTACTTGGATAGGAAAAGTCAAGTGAAGAATTAAATTTTATAATACAACAAGAAAAATTTGACTAAAACTAGATTTGTAAGTGTTAAGATTTTTTAACAGGACAATTTTAATGATGTTTTTGATCAAAAACATGTATTTTACTTTACATTCTCATTTCAGGGGCCTTCTTTTCCTCCATTGTCTGAGTATGCTCCACCACCGAATCCAAACTCTGACCATCTAGTGGCTGCTAATCCATTTGATGACAACTATAATACTATCTCCTATAAACCACTACCTTCATCAAATCCATATCTTGGCCCTGGTTATCCTGGTTTCGGAGGCTATAGCACATTCAGAATGCCACCTCATGTTCCTCCGAGAATGTCTTCCCCATACTGTGGTCCTTACTCACTCAGGAATCAACCACACCCATTTCCTCAGAATCCTCTGGGCATGGGTTTTAATCGACCTCATGCTTTTAACTTTGGGCCACATGATAATTCAAGTTTTGGAAATCCATCTTATAATAATGCACTAGGTCAGAATGTTAATATGCCTAATCAACATTTTAGACAAAATCCTGCTGAAAACTTCAATCAGATTCCTCCACAGAATGCTGGCCAGGTATCTAATCCTGACTTGGCATCTAACTTTGTCCCTGGAAATAATTCAAATTTTACTTCTCCATTAGAGTCTAATCATTCTTTTATTCCTCCCCCAAACACTTTTGGTCAAGCAAAAGCACCACCCCCAAAACCAGACTTTAATCAAGGAGCAACCAAAAGCACTAATCAAAATTCCTCTGCTCATCCACCTCACTTAAATATGGATGACACAGTGAATCAGAGTAATATTGAGTTAAAAAATGTTAATCGAAACAATGCAGTAAATCAAGAGAATAGCCGTTCGAGTAGCACTGAAACTACAAACAACAGCCATGCGAATGGGACACAGAGTAAGCCACGACAACCTAGAGGTGCAGCAGACACGTGCACCACTGAGAAAAGCAATAAATCCTCTCTCCACCCAAGCCGTCATGGCCATTCTTCTTCCGACCCAGTGTATCCTTGTGGAATTTGTACAAACGAAGTAAATGATGATCAGGATGCCATTTTATGTGAAGCCTCTTGTCAAAAATGGTTTCATCGGATCTGCACTGGAATGACTGAAACAGCTTATGGCCTGCTAACAGCAGAAGCGTCAGCAGTATGGGGCTGTGATACTTGTATGGCTGAGAAAGATGTCCAGTTAATGCGCACTAGAGAAACTTTTGGTCCACCTGCAGTGGGCAGTGATGCTTAATCACAGGCATTAACTGAAGTGGACGTTTTCCCCCTGTGTATGACAAAGGTTCAGTGACACAGGATTTTAAATGTTTTACAATATTTTTTTAAATGCACATGAAAAAAGATTATTTACCTTTTAGTTTTTATTACTATTCACTTCATTACTAGTGCAAATTTTGTGTTGTCTTCGTTTGCGATCTTAAATGAGAGTAATGTATAGGAGGGTGCTTTAGAAACTACTATACATGTAAACACTAGTTGTTCTTAATCGTAAACATAAAAGCCTCTTGAAGTTTCAAAATAATATATAGCAAATGTAGGCAAGTGTTGACTTTTAGAAGTTAGGACCATTGAAAAGTATATTTCAGTTCTGAACTTTGGTGATACCACACTGAACATTTATTTCAAAAACTTTTTCAAGGATTCATTTAACATGTTTTCAGAAAAAAAAAGTGTAGCTATCACATGGAAGAAAGTGTACATTTTAATGGCTGTTTTAAAAAATTATAATAAAGTATGACACCAGATTGCCCCCTAACTAGGGTCCTTGAAATTAGTGACTTTTGTATTTCGAGTCAGTCTCTTCAGAGTATCTGTACAGATAATGAGACAAGTGTTAGCATATAGTCGATGCTCAGTAAGTATTTGTTGATTAACTTGTGGATTGTATCACATGAAATTGCTAATATTAGATCAGTTCAAAATTGACTTCAGTTAGTAGAGTTGACATAAAGTATGTTTTTAGTTGTGTAGAATTGTAACAGTGTTAGGCTTTTCTCCATTTTCTTTGATTATTGGTCATTTTGTTACTTTTTTCCAGAGAAATAAATAATATAGTATCCTCAGGAGAATTGCAAATACTTTTAAAACATGATTCCAACCTGGAACATATTGCAAATGAGATAGGTAGATAAATTTGGCTTTAGAGCACTCTGCTGGTGAAAGAACAACTCGTTGACAGTTTGAAAAATCTTGTTCTAGGGAGCTGAATTCAAAAATGAGCCTTAAGGGAGATCAAAATCCATTTTAAGCAAAGATCAACTAAGAGCTAAGGTGAAAGCTAACTTACAAACAACAATTTAAGGCCTTGCAGCAGACAGTTTTTGCTTGACTGCAGAAAGTATAAAAATTGACCTGAAAGTATCTTCTTGAGAGATGATAAAAGAATGAAAACAGCTGGAGGTGAACTCATTCAAATTCAAAACAGCAGAAATCCAGTTGTGGAGTGGATCATAACCCATGATCAAAAAAGCCCCAGGATACTATATGACAACTGATAGCAATCTGTACAATGGTTGGATGTTGGTGAGGCTCCCAAACTTGTGCCATCGTCATTCTGACCCAAAAAGTTGTGAAGACCATACGGTAATTTATGAAAGGGATAATTAATCACTACTATTTAAACCCTCATGGAACAAGAAATTAAAATTAGACCACAAAAATCTGATTTAAAAAACATCCTTTGGTTAATAAAAATGAACCCACACTTTTACATGACAGTACTTGAGCTCATGTGTCACAGGCCACTAAAGTGAAATTGATTGAATTGGGCTATCTTGTCACATCCATGTTGGTCACCAGGCCTTTATCCAATGAACTACCATCTTTTTCATCATTGCAAGCTTTTTCTAAGAAATAACATATTCTCCAATGAAGAAGAAGTAATTGGAGGATTTCAACAATTTAAAGTCTAACAAATTATGAATTTTTATAAAAATGAAATATTTAATATCCTAATAGAAGAAATTATTACTGCTCATGGTACATATTTTAATTGAATAAAACTTTTATATATAGTGTTTTAATTTTGACCTACAAACACAGCAATTTCATATGGTACAAGGTAATATAAGTTTTTTTCCATTTTCCTGTGACTAGTTAGAGGTGAGTACAAAATATTTTCAATGGTTGTAAAATAATATATCTTTATAGTTTTAGAAAATGAAATGATATAAATTCTAACAATAGGTACTCCTTTGTGTAAAAATTTTTCCCAGTTGAAACAGGTTGAAATGCAGTATTTTTGACTGACTCTTGACATTTGATGTGTTCAGTAGCATACCTGAAGATCCCACTGTGCTTACACTGTAGATTTGTTAGAGACACAAAATTTTCTAAATATTTAAAGACCTAGTTATGTTGTTCCTGAAATCCTAGAGAGTGCCGATTATTACGACATGATGCACTGCATGCTATTTGCCCAGTCCTAGCATCAGATCATGATTTATTTTTTTTATGACTGAATGCAGTTAGATAGATATTAAGTGGAACCTTTCAACATCTGCAAGCATTAACACTTTACATGGCAGTTCTCGAGTTGTGCTCATTGTTAATTGATTATGTGGTCTTAAGACCTCTGTTGCTTAGTTTCAATAGTTGTTTTGTGAAAATGAAATTATCCCAAGCTAGTCAAAAGATGCTTGATTTGTAATGCAGTTCTTTCATTTTCTATTTCCAAGTAATTTGTTTTAACTTAAAAACAAGTGAATTTTTCTTCAGGTATTTAGGTCTTCAAAGTACCTTATTTAAATAAAAATATTTAAGTATTCAAAGAAAAACCTGTGGTTGATTTTGACAGTGAATAATAGGCAAACTATAATCATAGCTGATGAATGTTTTCATGTATTTGAATTAATTTTCTTACGAGTTCTACCTTTGTCTCTATATAACACTGAGTCAAAAATTATCTAAGTCCTTTTTGGTAGGGAAAGTAATGAACTATAAGAATGACCAGATACAATTTGCCCTATTTGACCCAAAGAAGGCTGTTATACAAATTAGTGTGGCATTCTTAATATACATGATGAGCTGCCCTAAACATTTAAAAATACTCAGTGATGAAAGGAAGTGCACACAGTTGGAATAATCTTCCACTAGCATTACACCTTTTTGGTGTAACTATTTTCCTTCACTGAAAGGCCGCATCTCTCTCTCTCTCTCTCTCTCTCTCTCTCTCTCTCTCACACACACACACACACACACACACACGCGCGCGCGCAATCTTGGAGTTTCTCCTACATTCTTGTTTTGCCAAAGTTCAACCTGGCTATCAGTAGGTAGGCTCTCTCCCCAAAGCTAGGTTACTAATGGAAAGTTCTAAAGCATGAGTTCCTTTCTCAGAACTTGCTTTGTTAATGTCACTAGACTTCCTGGTGCACTTGCTTCTAGATGCTACTCAACTAATTAATACTGAAACAGCTTAGCGTGTAAAAGAAAAAATTCTTCAGGTAGAGTGCTTAGAATTTAGATTTGTGATCAGTGTTTTCCTTTTGTGTGAAATACTATTATGATTCTTGTTATCCATATTAGACGATTATGTACATAAAACTGAAGATTTTCTTGTACTAGTGCTTATTCTGCATAGATTAACACAGTTTAAAGAAATCCAGTTTTTTGATGTTTGGATTTTTTTTTTAAGACTCCCAACCTTGACTAGTAATAGGAAAAAAAACCTCAGTAGTGTGGGTCACCATGAAGTCTGCCAACTTTAATTAACCAAATATGTATCAGGAGTCTTCAATACTTTTTTCAAACTTGTTCATCTTGAACAAATTAAGAGTGCTAGTACTTATTGTCCAACATACTATAGTGATTGTGTTTAATCGTAAAAAATATATAAGCAATGAAAAGGGAGCTCTAAATGGTTTTGGGTTTTTTGCAGTGTGTAGGTTTCATATGCATGAACATTTATGCTATTTTAGATTTTTTTAATCAAAATTTTTAAAGTATTGAAGCTCCCAAAGTTTATTTGTAAATAGTGGCTTGGAACTCTATATAAGATGATTAGATTCTTAGGGAGGCTCATAACGGCTTATTTAAAGCATGATGTAGTTAACCTGTAGTATCATGCTGTGTGATCAGCTTCTTTAGGGAACCAATCAATGTAGATGGGAGAAAGAAGCAGAGGTCTTTCCTTTTTCCTGATGTGATTCAGGAAGTTTTAAGTGTTTGGGTGTGAGTGTTTCCCAGTTGCCCTCTTACCATCCTTAATTCTGGTGGGGTGCTATATAGGCCAACTTGCCTTTTCCCTTCCTGGATGCCCTGTGCTTTAGAATTTCCTACCTTTCCTCCAATCAGAATTCCCATTTCTTTGTGTGGCTGTGGCTGACTGGACTCTAAGGGAAAAGTATTTTCTATCAAGATGTGCAAATTAAGATCATGAAGAAAGTGGCATTAAATTTCTTTTTTTAAGGGTGTTCAGAATAAATCTTTAATATTTCAGACAAAATGATCATATTTCAGGCACCACAGATAGCAATGTTTTTATTGAATTGGCTGGTACTTTCTTGAAAGTACTTCACAACTTCCTTTAGATTGTTGGGATTTTAAATTTCCAAATTTCTTCTCTGAACTCTGAGGGTTTCTTCTCATTTACAAATGTTAGCAATCTCTTTTTTTGTATTTCATTTAGCCAGCAGTGATATAGAAGTCACATCTGCATATTTCCAACTCTTAGTACAATGATGGAAGTTTAGAGCCACCTTAGAGTAAGGAGGATGGGGATGGCATTAACATCTCCCAAGACAAGTGGTTTAGGGGAAATGAAGGGAAGTAAGTGGCTTATAAGCCAGACATTAATACATCAAAGGTTGCCTGTATTTTATTGAAGACTTTTAATAAAACCCAGTGGATAAACTTCATCTTTGTCATATTTTGTCAAATTACTTGGCAGTTATATTAAAATGTATTCTAAATACCTGTACTTCCTTGTTCTGTAGATGATGTAGATGATGTTGCTTGTTAGTTAAAATATCTTATAAAAGAAAGTCCTGCTTCTTATCATGATGTATGTGACTTAAATGACTGTTTCATATTAAAACTATTTCTTCCTTATGTACTGTTTACATATACCTCTTTTTGGGATATTAGTTCAGTACTTTTATACAAATCTGAGTGTGTTCCACATTGGTGACATGTATTTTTGCAGCAATTTTTTGTTTTGTTCATAGAGCATGTCTAAAGTAACACATGCACTAGTGCTGTGGTCTGTGGCAAAATTACTGTAATTCAAATTGGAAAATAAAATGTTTCCAGACTTTGTCCAACATTTATTCCTGTGGCAAAGGAAATTACTATGTAATACTAATTATTTCTTATGCTGGTATGTTTAAGCTACTCTATGAAGTAAGTGAAACATCAATATTTATGGATTAGTAGATGGCCTGATATCTTTGAAATAGGAGAGAGGGGTAAAATTTGATGTTAGCAATTCATAACACTCATAATACAATAAATACTTCTTAAAATTTTGATTTTCCTCTTACAGTTATAACTTACTAAAGAGTTATTTTGACAGTTCATATTAGGATATTTTTAGCCCCTACCATTAAAATTATATACTAGGTTTTGAACTTAACCTACTGTCTTTTGATCAAAAGAGGTATCATTCACTCCACCATAACCAAAATAATTAGTAGTACTTCATTTATTAAGAAACTACAGGCATACCTTCGAGATATTGCAGATTCTGTTCCAGATCATGCAATAAAGCAAATATGGCAATAAAGTGAGTCACAGATTGTTTGGTTATGTTTGTACTACCTTGTCTGTAGTCTACTATAAAGTGTGCAATAACGTTATATCTAAAAACAATGTACATACCTCAATTAAAAATACTTTATTACTAAAAAACGCTATCATCTGAGCATACTGGGAAAATAATGCCAATAGATTTGCTCAACACTGAGTTGCCACAAACCTTCAATTTGTAAAAAATGCAAGACCTATAAAGCGCAATAAAACAAAACAATAAAATGAGGTATGCCTGTATTACAATACCATGAAGCTCTTCTAATTTATCTAGAATTTACATCCATTGATACAAGGACTTCATTGGTGTTTACTTTGTTCAATCTGATGAAAAGATTTGTTAGTAAAAGGATTTAAAGAACAATGTTTAATCTTGGAAAAATTTTAAGCTCTTTAGAGGCATTTAAGAATACTAGTTTAAAAGTATTCTTTTGTCACTAAAACAAGTACCCAAAATAATTATAGTAGATAATAGTTGGTCAATGCAAATATGTATGTTTGAATTATATGCTTGCAAGAAAAAAAAAGAATGCTTGTGAGTGCTTAACCTGCATATCTTTTTAAAACATTTAAATTTTTAGATTTGTCAATTCAAACTATCCTGAATTAATAAGCTTTTCTTATGTCAATGATATATATATTACAAGATAAATGTCTACCTATGCTATGTTAATGATATCTCTATACATCATTTTTTGGCATGGTTGTTGGTGGTACATTTTGTACATTTGATTATTGACTGTTGCTAGGACTGACATAGCAATAAATCTGATTCAGTTCTTAATATTTTAAAAAATGCCAATTACCGTACTGTATCATCCCATTATATTTTACTTGAATACCCAGTGTTTTCATTGGTCCATTTTTTTGTGTTAAAAATTCAGGATATGTGTTAGGAATTTTTTTCTGATGTTTTCACATACAATCTTTTAGAACTGGGTCTTTTTATTTAAATCAGAGGTTTAAAGAAGTATTAGTATTAAGTGATTCATGAATTGCTTTGTGGAAAAACTTAAACTATGACGTGACTAGGTTACCCCCATATTGTTTATTTTCTTTATATGGTTAATGTACAGATTACATTTTCAGAGAAATAAAATTGGCTTGGTATCTAATAGAATATAGTAGATAATGGATAGTTTGAGTATCTAAGGGCTTCCAAGTAGTAAACCAAATAATTCTCAAATCTGAGTTACTTTTTAATAATTGCTATAGATAATGGTAAGCCAATTCTCTGTTTTCTTTTAAAGATATTTAATTTTTACAATTTCTTCCTTATGATTTCTTTTACCTCTTTCTTGAACACCATGCTAGAATTTAAAATTGGAGTTTTAACTTATCTTCCACATTGTAGTTTTCTATTCTATAGTAAGATAAGTAGAGGTTCTATCAAAACAGCCCACGTTATTGTTGGTCATTCTTTTCAGGGATCATGCTAAATGTCATTTGTGCATTGTATAAAAAATGTTATTTATCAGTGTATAGACCTACTATTAGTAGAAATTATGTATGGCAGGCTTTCTTGAACAGTATGTATTGTAAGTTTGTTTCCTATAGTGTTATGCTTCAGATTCTTTTAAATAAAGCTAGTTTTTAGAGAAAAATAACTGTTTTTTAAGTGCTTAACTTTAATCAGACAAGTAGCTGTAACAATTTTGGCTTTGGGTAGATGTCCCAGGAAACATTAAGCAGGACAATAGGCTATCATTTACTAGGAATTTAATTTTATACTGAGGAGCAAACTATTTTTTGGATGGGCCTTTCTACATACATATGTTTTTATCCATATGAAGTTTATATATAACACTGAGTCCAGCTATTCTTTTAAGAAAATGTGAACGTAACATACTTCTTTTTATTTTAACAAATTACAACTTCAGTTTTGTTAATAGAAAATGAATTGGAGAGGAATTCTACAATCTCAGCAGCTTAATTATCCTGAAGCAGAAACACCATACTAAGAACACACTTGCTTGAGGGGAAAATGGGGACATCTGCAATAGTGTCAATAATAAAAATAAAGGAGGAAGAAAAAAATTTGCTTGAATGACAAAATTAGGTTGTGAAAAACCCTTCAAAGCTTGTTTGAAGCAACCATAAGGTGCCTTTAGTCTCACATGAAAAGAGGCTGTATAAATGTGAAAGTGTCAATTGATAGAACTTGGCTTCAGAGGTAAGGCTTTAGAGATGTGACAAGATAAAATTACATCAAGATTAAATTTGAATGCATGAAAGTTCTACTTAAACATATGGAAAGAAAAAGTAAAAATGTGTGTATCTTACCTATTGTAGGAGAGAGAAAAAATGTACAGAGACTTCTGATCAAATAACATTATGAATTGATGCTCTATTCCAAACACATAGTAGTGATAAATTATAAAAAGTAAAATTGGGCTCAAAACCAACACAAATATATCAAAGGACAAGAAGTACAGAAAGAAATCATAAATCATAC